TTTTCCACCATTCACCATGTGACTGAAGTCAGTGAGCTGTGATCATTTTTAAGGTGGAATTCCCCTTTTAACACACGCTGTGAAACTATAAGGTTGAGTAAATTCCAGTGAGTGTGTGATTACAGTAATAAGAGAGTGACTCCTCGCTGTTATTATGTGTTCAACAGTGATGCAACACGTTGCAGCTTCAGCACGGACATTTCTTAGAAGGAAAAAAAAAACAGATCCCGGCCTGTTAGAGAAGCTTTAAAACAAACTGAAACCCATGGAGCTCCAGTGAGAAACATCTGTGCATGTATATGACTACATGAAACTTTATTTTCTATATCAATATGCTGCCCTTTAATGGTTAAATATGTAGTAAACTGTTTGAGAACCACTGCTTTGAAGAGGACTAATAGTTAGGACTATTAGTCAAAGAGAAAAATAATCAATTATCAGGTGTTCTTGCAAACTGAAGACGCTCACCTAAGAGGCCGCTGCAAACATTAAAAAACATATACATAATATAATCTTCTGAGATGCAATATTTAACTCATGTCAACAAAAAAGTCCTTGTGCCTTAATGTCACAAAATGTTTGAATATGACTTTAAAAATATATACATCCAAGGACAGACGTATAAGACAAACACAAAGCACATGTATTGGGGTTAAATGTATTGGGGTTAAATTAAATATTTTAGAAAAGCAACTTAAAAGAGGATAACTTTATTTAAAATAATATTTAAATAACAATATTTACGAGACTAAATAAGAGCATAGTGCAGTGGTAAGGAGTGCCAAAGATGCTGAAACAAACATAATAAGAAATACTTTAAGTTGAGGTCACAATATTCAGCATTAAGTGGTTGCTTATTATCATGCTAATTGTTAGCATACTGGCTGTAGCTTACTGGCTTTTGTACATTGAGAGCAAACTCTACCAAAGTCAGATCCTTGTATGTGTGAGCATACATTGCCAGTAAAGCTGATTCTGACCTTTTGGAGACTTGTAGGGTCTGAAAACAAAGAAATAAAATATATTTAAAAAACCTCTAAACATCACGAAAAAGCAAATTCTTTGTTGAAGAGGATTTTTTCTCATGTCAGATTTAACTACTTTTAATGAAGACCAGACAAAAGGCAGTGATGTTCCTCATTAGTGAGTTGCAGTCTGTTGTCTCTCGTTTTCACTCTGTTCTCAGCTGAAAGTGCTGATTCAGCGACTTCATTGTTCGGCAAAAGATTTAAGACAGCAAATTGTGATCGTTTCATTGACAATTTAAGTGGAATTTCCATCATTTTGACAGTTTCTGTAACATATTTGTGGGTCTTAAAGGGGACATATTCTGAAAAATCCACTTCTACAGTGTTTTTGAACATATATTTGGGTAACCTGAGTGTCTACTGACCCACAAAATTTAAAATAAACCCATCCAGTCCTTTGTTTGTGGTCTGCATAAGTCTTACAACACAGAGAAAAATGCTTCGTTTCAAATTTGCTCAACTTGTGACATCACAGTGGGATTCTGGTAAAAGAATACCCTCCCCTAGAGACTTAAAAATATATGTAAAAGTCTGACTAACACTAGGCATACCCGTTAATATTAAAGGAGACAATGTTTAAATATCATTCATTCAGATTTTCAGCTGCTTGCAATTTTTTTTTTTAATTCCATGTGTTGGTCATTCATGCAGGCGTTCGGTCAGGGAATCACTCAGCAGCTTGGCGGAAAACCCCATGAACAAGCATATCCAGGAACCTCAACGAGGCAGAACGAGTGGCGAGGAAGATGAAGAGGAGTTTAGATTGAGACAACGATCAGCCCGACCGCATCAGAGACTGAGAGACAAACAGTCAGAGAGTGTTTGACGTGAGGAGGATCAGAGGGTTTGGTTTCTGAGGTCAGCTCTTTTAAACTCCCTCCGACAAAACAAACAAGCTGCTACTGATGATGCGAAGGATTTAAGGCACTTGAACGCAGCACTGACTCTACAGCTTTAACTATATTTATGTTTATACTTTTCAGGACATCTCCTACAGTTAAGAATATTTAGCGGAGGATTTGTTTAAGGGTAAAGCTCCTTAACCTCTCGGGATAGCCAATATTAGCTGAATGGTTCGGGCCAATAATTTAATTGAGCTTTTCAATTCATTCGTCATGTTCACATTGGAGAGAGTCTGAAGGTCCCCTCTTGGAAATTTCTTAAAAAATGATGAAAATCACATTCTAAGTAATATTATGGCTTAAAATATGTGATCTATTATTTTTTGTATTTTTAACTTGACCAGAAACATCAGTCCTCACTTGGTCAGTGTCGAGTGATGGTCCACGCTTGGTATAGTAGGTAAGTATACGTGTGTGTGTGTGTGTGTGTGTGTGTGCGTGTGTGTGTGTGTGTGTGTGCCGCTGCTGGAGGACAGAGACAGGAAGTGGTTCCTCTCAAATCATCGTTTACAGTACAGAGAACCGATGTGACCGTCTGTCCCCTCCGACCTTTGACCTTTCACACACACA